GTTAAATTTGGTTGCTGAAAACCCATCACAGAATTTGGAAACTGAATAATAATTTTTATGAGTATTACATAAAGTTTCACAGAAAATGGATCCATTTCAAACTCTGAAAAACAAAATAATAATAATAATAATAATAATAATAATAAACAACTTAGAATAATTTCCCCATTTTCAACTGACTCTGGTAACTAACCATTCACACTGGAATAATTTGAATACAATTCCAGATCCAAAATCCCTGTTTTAAGTCCTCATGATATAGATTCCAATTGCAGGGATGCCTTCCTTTTAGATTGACAGCCTCTTAATCAGGCTCAGGTGTTAGTAATGGGATAACCACCTCTCATCAGCGATGCAGGATTGTATTCTGGCTGCCAGTGAGTATTGCTGAGCACTAATCCTTTTCATGTATGTTCAACAAGCATCTGAAAAGCTGTCTCACAAATATTCCTGAGACTCTGTTCAGTTCCTTTGCCATCTTGTCTGAGTCTGCACTGTTCCCTCCTAAGTGAAATCACAGAGAATGCTGCCATATGATTCACATGGCCAGTCACAAACAGCATGGAGTTGAAATATGTTCATGTTAAGTGTTCAGGATTTACAGGTTCTGTTACCATTGTCATCATTTTTCAAGAGATGGTTGCTTTATAATGTTCTGCAAAACAGCAGAAGAAAAAATAACAGAAATATATGATAGATAAATAGCTGTAATAATTACGCTAAAGTAATTATTTTCTACCAATACATAAATAGCTGTAATAATTACTCTAAATGCTTACTCAGAAAAGCCATACATATGTGCTTAAATGTATGTGCTTAATGTGTTATATAAAATCAGGCCAGTAGTTGTCATTAGCAGGCATGCTTCCATATTTTAAATGACCCTGACCATAGCTGGCACCAGCTGTAACAAAATAAAAAGTGAGAAGCGAGATTGAAAAGACCATTAATTCAGCAGGATGCCAGTGATACCCCAAGCTACAAAATACTCCCAATGGTGGATCTATTCTTCCATATGAAATTGGTGAGAAGAAACTTCTGTTTAACTTGAAGTTGAAAATCTTGAAGTTCCAGGATAATCAGTTTGCCATGTATTTGTGATCCCTGAGTTAAACATATTGTTTTTTTCAGTTGACATGTGATTTAGATTTCTCATCAAGTGTGTTAAACTGTGTAAAATAGTATATTTAACTCACCAAGAAGACAGTGCAGTCTCTATAACACAGAATTCTCTAGGGTCGGATAAAAATTGCTGCTGGAGAATCTAAAGTTTGTTGCAGAACCTGAGGTGTCACGTGGTTTGATAGGACCATTAGTAGTACGTAAATTAGGCTTTTAATCCTCCAGGCTCTGTTATGTTAATTACATTTTCAATCCATGTTTCTGAAGGTTTACTTGAAATCATAGCTATTTTTAATTACTTGAATGGTTGATGAGTTGAAGTGTCACATCCAAGTGCCCCAATTGCTGATGCATCCTTTCTTAAAATATGGGAGAAACCCCTGAAATCTCTTCACATCTTTCTGTTTTTCAGGCTGTCCAGGCTATTAACGGCCACACTAACATGACTCCTGAAGAGTTCACAAACATGGTATTTCAAAAGATTGATGTGAACAATGATGGTAAGAGTCTCTGTAGCTTCACCTGATATTGCCATTATTTATTCCCAGAAGGATTTGTGGATGGGCAGGAGATATTCTCATGAAAGAATTGAAACAGTGAGCAGAACTGCAGGGCTGAGTCTGTTTTTTCACACTTTTACCAAGCAGTTACTTCTGGTTTACACCAGCATGTAAATAAGAGGTTTACCAGACATGTTGACTTCATGCACATAATGGCATTAACATGAGACTTCTGCAAAAAATAGTAAGGGAACAGGAATCCCCCCAGCTCACCAGAACGGGAGAGCTCCCCTGTTGTTAGTCAAGGTGAGAAATAAGCTGAATTTTCCCCTTATTTAATCCCTCACACAAAGGAATTAAATTCACGAAGATGTTGAATGATGCCCTTTTTCACACCAAAACATATAAAGAGATAATCTCATGGGCATGCATGGATTTATAATGAAGAGAGTTCTTTGGCAAGCTAATGTCCTCTGACTTCATTGAGCTACTTGTGTGATTGCCTTGACTGGGTCCAACAAACCAGAACCTAGCTACATTTGCAGACAGGCAGGGCCTCCTGATTTATAAAATGCTGTTCCTTTCTTCTCACTTTTAATTAAATGTTCTCATATACACACATTTCAATGCTCATGCAACCTTTATAAGCTTGGACAGGGTGCCTGAAAGTCAGGAGAGAGAGAGAAAGTCAGAGGAAGTTGGTTAAAGGTTAAAGAGAAGAAAGACTGGAGCTGGACACTCTGGGGGATGAAAATAGGGAAAAGATTCAGCAGTCAGTGATAGCAGCAGGGTAGTACTTGTACAGAAAAGTTTTTTACTCTGCAGCAATGCATGTGTAGATGCTGACTTGGCTGTTTGGGACATGAGGGTACTTCTGTGAGGAGGTTGCCTGCAAGCTAGCCCCACACTGGAGCAACCTCATGCCCTAGCCAGCCCCTCTGCAGCACATTGAGCTGGGTGCAGCAGACCCAGGCTGGCAGGCTGACCTCCTGGGTCCCCTGCTAGTCAGAGCTGCTTGAACCCAGCCTAATATGCTACAGTCCCAGGTTTATGTTCAAACAGTGCACTCAGGAGCAATAAACTCCACAGCAATAAGTACCAGAGTTTACTGCTTTAAATTAATTGCACATGTAGATGCACCCAGCATGAAGTGAAAACAGTTCAGGGTGGGAAGATCCAAGTCAGTGGCATCCATATTGGAAAGGGAAATTTTAAAATAGTAGAAGTGAACAGGACAGAAAATGGGACCACCAGAGGAAGTTATTGGGGATAGATACAGGGACAGCATGCAGAAGCTCAGAGTACTGGATCATCTTCCATTTCTAATCTTATTTATATAATGGCATTGTGAGGTGTGAATGAGGAGTGAAGAACATGTGAAGAACTCCTTTAATTTTCTTCATGTGGCACATTTTCCTTAATTTTCTTCACATAGGAAAGCTGCATTCCTATCCTAAAGTCTATTCTGAATGGCAAATTCTGCAGCCTTGTAGAACCCCTGCTGGCAATTGCAGCCTTTTCATTTGGTGATCAGCATATGCATAAATTACCCAAGAACACATTGTGGATTATTAATGTAAAACAACATACTTTTCTAGAGCTGAATAGATTTTTTTTTCATCCCCAAATATTTTCAGAAGTTTGGTATCTTTATCTCTCTTTTCCTCTCCCCACCTCTCTCTGGATTGGACCAGAAATTCTACCCTGGACCTTGAGAACTTTTCTTACTGAAAGTTTTAGACCCCATGCATTCCCTGGGAAAACAATTTCATAGAAAAAATTAATTACTTCCACCTTCACAGATTTGTAGCATGCCAATGACATGCCATTATGTCCTCTTCTACTAACAATGTTATACATCAACAAACCCACAACCACTCTTTGAGTTTTACTGCTCAAATATGTGAAGAGGCAATGTGACATTTCTCAAGCCCAGTGATTCTCAAACTTTAGACTTAAGGTACTTCTCGTTAGACTTAAGGCACCCCTGGGAAAATTCTAGCTTTCAGCTTTCACGCATTTCTTGACTGCAGAAAAATAATAGTGATTCTTTTGTTGCGAAGAACCCAGAAACACCACAACAGGTCCGAATGTTTTGGGCACTGAATTTCTATTTGAAATCTCTGGGATTATGTTGTGAATCATGTTGTATAAGTGTTTGTACACCCAACAGTGCTAATGTTGTGTGGGACCCCACAACATCCTTAAAAGGATTTTAGCATACCCCAGGGGCTGTGGTTGAGAGTGACTGCTCTGGTTCCTCAATAAGGGGCAGTTTTTAAAGATGGTCTTTAGCTTTCAAGGCATTAGAGGACTGTAGGTTCAACCCCAAACTGGAGCATCAGTGGTCACTTCTGGTATTTAGAAGGATTTTTTTTTTTATGAAACTACTTAAAATACTGCACATACTAGTGCAGGACAGTTTTGTTGACCAGTAAGCATTGCTGTAGTAGAACAGACCTTATTTTTCATAGTCCTGTCTCTCTAATATCTAATATCAGTTGGCAATTTTGTACAGTAGAGCTAGGAAGAGTAAATGTAGGGCAAGTGTGCAATTTTAAAGATCCTAAGTATGAGGGGAGCACAGGTCCCATTGAAGACCAGTGGAACTTCTGCTCCTAAGGCAGCTGAGCCAAAACTTTTGCAGCAAACTTAATGTGCCCTGTAGCAGCTTCCTTAAACACTGTGCAATGTTTTTAGGTGTTTTGTTTTCTAACCCAGAAGCAGTGTAGGCGCATCTATGTGGCACCACACTAGGGCTAACTAGCCATGTTACACAGCAGTATTAATTAGTCCTCCTGAAATGCGACATTAGTGGTTCTCAACCTTTTTAAACTTAAGGCAGGTGCCCAGTGGACTTGAGGCACCCCTCCATAACTTTTGTGAATTGAGTGACACCCAATTTTAAAAACCACTATATATATTATAGTGCTTATCTCCTTGCAGAGAGGCTGCGTGGTAGGGTTGGGGGATCAGCCAGGCAGGGTCAGATCTGAGCCAGTGCTTATCTAGTTACCTCTTCGCACCTTGCTTATTTCCTTATTTCCTTACACATTACAGCAACATGACAATCTGTTGGCACATCCAGGTGCTGAATCACCCTGGTTGAGAATCACTGCTCTACACAGATGTGGCTACACTTGATTCCAGTGTGGGAAGCAGCCCACCTAGAGCAGCACATTTTGCAATATATTTTGTGATACCAATATACCTTAGGCTGTCTTAATTACCCTGTATTGAATTATTAAGATTTGTTTAAATATTTCACTGCAAATAAAGCTTGTTGTGTATTAATTGGATTGTATCACCAATCTATATAAAGAAAACTCAGCAAATAATGTTAGACTCATGCCATGATTTGGATCTGGTATTGAAAAAGGTGTCCCGGCATTTCCCTTGATGGAAAATTCCAGCTAAAGCTAAACAGTCACTTCCTAATTCTGACAGCTGCTCTCAATGCTGTCCTGCAGTGATTCCTTACTAGCTAATTTGCAGCAACTCACTGGAGGCTCCCATGATCGAATGATCTATATTAAGCCTTGGAGTGCCTACCTTTATACCAGCACAGGCTTTACTACAGTTGAAAATATTATGTAGTGGTGAACTACAAACTCTGTAGTTGAGCAGGGCTTGCCTGCATATTTTTTAGCATTTCTGTCACTGGCCTCTGCAGTTAACTTTAGTCTTTGTGCAATTTTCACTAGTTGCTTTACCTTATTTTTCTACTCCTCTCCCAGAACCTGAGACGCTGAACTTTCACACATGCCACTGACTTCAGAGGAAGCTGTGGTTAATCAGGACCTATTAAGAAACAAAAGCTGGTTATATTCTGGCCTTGAGAGCTTGATAGGGCTGGCAAGGTCCGATTTATTTCCTGGTGGCCTCTGTACAAACTTCAGTGAAAAAAACTGGGAAGCTTCTTGGGCCCCTGCCACGTGTTGGCTTAACAGTGATTTCATAGCCTCTAGCCCTCGTTTTGGTTTCTAAATGATGTTTTATTTCATCGTAGGGGAACTGACTTTAGAAGAGTTTGTCAATGGTGTGGAAAGCGACAAGAACCTCTTGGAATTGATTTCAAAAAGTTTTGACCTTTCCAACGTACTCAAAGTCATTCAGAGCGGGAGGCGGCACAGCGTCTGAGATCTTCCGACTGGAAGTGGGGTCTCTGATGAGCCTGAATATTGCAGGAAGGATAATATGTAGTACTTACAAAAATCTTAATCTCCTAAAGCACTGTACAGAAAATAACTGAAGTCAAGCTCCCACAATAACTTGGGCTTCAGAGTTTTTTGTCATCGCTCTCCTTTCTTTCTCTTTCTCATTAATAAATGTGATAGCTGCTCAATATGAAACTTCATCCACATACAATAGTAAAGCTATTTGTTGAGGTACAAATAATTGATTTGGTCACATAAAGTAACAGTAAACAGTGAGAATAGTACAAAATCAAACCTCTCTAGAAGAAACTGGGCTAATGAATTTCTTCTTTTAAATACATATTCTTTAAGCTACAATTTAAAATGTGGTGATAAACCAGTAGATAGGATTGGTTTCCTTCTGGATCAATCAAGAATGAAGTGTGGTTTGCATTAACTAACTTGCACTAATCAGTGCTTAAAATAGAGGTCAGTTATCTGGGAAACACCTCAATCAGTTTACTGTTTCACAGATAAACATCCTGTTTGGAAAGCTGTTTACAACTCTTTGCTCGATTATATCTGTAAATTAAAATGACTTAACACTTTGATTTTTCAGAGTTTTATTTTTAATCCTAATTTTCTTCTCAATTAACCTTTGTAGAAGCACTTGAATTGTAT